TGATTTTGAATGGAGAAAAGACATGGAAGAACATAAAAATTAGAATAGAATAAAATTATCAAGATGAAAGAAAGAAAGAAAGAAAGAAAGAAAGAAAGAAAGAAAGAAAGACAAATGATTTTGAATGGAGAAAAGACATGGAAGAACCTAAAAATTAGAATAGAATAAAATTATCAAGAAGAAAGAAAGAAAGAAAGAAAGAAAGAAGGATAAATGATTTTGAATGGAGAAAAGACATGGAAGAACATAAAAATTATAATAGAATAAAATTATCAAGAAGAAAGAAAGAAAGAAAGAAAGAAAGAAAGAAAGATAAATGATTTTGAATGGAGAAAAGACATGGAAGAACATAAAAATTATAATAGAATAAAATTATCAAGAAGAAAGAAAGAAAGAAAGAAAGAAAGAAAAGAAAAGATAAATGATTTTGAATGGAGAAAAGACATGGAAGAACATAAAATTAGAATAGAATAAAATTATCAAGAAGAAAAAGAAAGAAAGAAAGAAAGAAAGAAAGAAAGAAAGAAAGAAGGATAAAATGATTTTGAATGGAGAAAAGACATGAAGAACATAAAAATTATAATAGAATAAAATTATCAAGAAGAAAAGAAAGAAAGAAAGAAAGAAAGAAAGAAAGATAAATGATTTTGAATGGAGAAAAGACATGGAAGAACATAAAAATTATAATATAATAAAATTATCAAGAAGAAAGAAAGAAAGAAAGAAAGAAAGAAAGAAAGAAAGAAAGAAAGAAAAGAAAAAAATAATTTTGAATGGAGAAAAAGACATGGAAGAACATAAAAATTATAATAGAATAAAATTATCAAGAAGAAAGAAAGAAAGAAAAGAAAGAAAGAAAGAAAGAAAATGATTTTGAATGGAGAAAAGACATGGAAGAACCTAAAATTAGAATAGAATAAAATTATCAAGATGAAAGAAAGAAAGAAAAGAAAGAAAAAAGAAAGAAAGAAAGAAAGACAAATGATTTTGAATGGAGAAAAGACATGGAAGAACATAAAAATTATAATAGAATAAAATTATCAAGAAGAAAAAAGAAAGAAAGAAAGAAAGAAAGAAAGAAAGAAAGACAAATGATTTTGAATGGAGAAAAGACATGGAAGAACCTAAAAATTAGAATAGAATAAAATTATCAAGATGAAAGAAAGAAAGAAAGAAAGAAAGAAAGAAAGAAAGAAAGAAAGACAAATGATTTTGAATGGAGAAAAGACATGGAAGAACATAAAAATTAGAATAGAATAAAATTATCAAGAAGAAAGAAAGAAAGAAAGAAAGAAAGAAAGAAAGAAAGACAAATGATTTTGAATGGAGAAAAGACATGGAAGAACATAAAAATTAGAATAGAATAAAATTATCAAGATGAAAAAGAAAGAAAGAAAGAAAGAAAGAAAGAAAAGAAAGAAAGAAAGACAAATGATTTTGAATGGAGAAAAGACATGGAAGAACATAAAAATTAGAATAGAATAAAATTATCAAGAAGAAAGAAAGAAAGAAAGAAAGAAAGAAAGAAAGAAAGAAAGACAAATGATTTTGAATGGAGAAAAGACATGGAAGAACATAAAAATTAGAATAGAATAAAATTATCAAGATGAAAGAAAGAAAGAAAGAAAGAAAGAAAGAAAGAAAGAAAGAAAGACAAATGATTTTGAATGGAGAAAAGACATGGAAGAACATAAAAATTAGAATAGAATAAAATTATCAAGAAGAAAGAAAGAAAGAAAGAAAGAAAGAAAGAAAGACAAATGATTTTGAATGGAGAAAAGACATGGAAGAACATAAAAATTAGAATAGAATAAAATTATCAAGATGAAAGAAAGAAAGAAAGAAAGAAAGAAAGAAAGAAAGAAAGAAAGAAAGAAAGACAAATGATTTTGAATGGAGAAAAGACATGGAAGAACATAAAAATTAGAATAGAATAAAATTATCAAGAAGAAAGAAAGAAAGAAAGAAAGAAAGAAAGACAAATGATTTTGAATGGAGAAAAGACATGGAAGAAACCTAAAATTATAATAGAATAAAATTATCAAGAAGAAAGAAAGAAAGAAAGAAAGAAAGAAAAGAAAGACAAAAGATTTTGAATGGAGAAAAAGACATGGAAGAACCTAAAAATTATAATAGAATAAAATTATCAAGAAGAAAGAAAGAAAGAAAGAAAGAAAGAAAGAAAGAAAGAAAGAAAGACAAATGATTTTGAATGGAGAAAAGACATGGAAGAACATAAAAATTAGAATAGAATAAAATTATCAAGAAGAAAGAAAGAAAGAAAGAAAGAAAGAAAAATGATTTTGAATGGAGAAAAGACATGGAAGAACATAAAAATTAGAATAGAATAAAATTATCAAGATGAAAGAAAGAAAGAAAGAAAGAAAAAAAGAAAGAAAATGAAATTTTTGAATGGAGAAAAGACATGGAAGAACCTAAAATTAGAATAGAATAAAATTATCAAGAAGAAAGAAAGAAAGAAAGAAAGAAAAGAAAGAAAGAAAGAAGGATAAATGATTTTGAATGGAGAAAAGACATGGAAGAACCTAAAAATTAGAATAGAATAAAATTATCAAGAAGAAAGAAAGAAAGAAAGAAAGAAAGAAAGAAAGAAAGAAGGATAAATGATTTTGAATGGAGAAAAGACATGGAAGAACATAAAAATTAGAATAGAATAAAATTATCAAGAAGAAAGAAAGAATGGAAGAAAGAAAGAAAGAAAGAAAGAAGAAAAGAAAGAAAGGATAAATGTAATTGAAACTCTGCTCTCTGATTTCATTTACACCACCTGCACATCCAAAGTTACACCACCTGGAATTCCCAAGCAGTCTTCCACCTTGCTACTCCCAGGATCAATGTTTCTTAACTTTGGTGGTCTTAAAAGAACCAGTTTCAATGTGATATGGTCATAAGCCCTATCAAAAGCATAATATAATGATATGAGTAAGGTGCTGGAGATTTAAAAGTTGCTACTAATCCATCCACAGAAATAACCAGCAGTCACTTGGTGTGAATTTATAAAAGCATGAAATTTAAATAACAACAATTGATGTTATCCAGTCTATACTTGTTGGGGTGGTAGCACCTGTTTAGGGTCCCAACTATGGGCAAATAGTTAACTATTACCAGCAATACTTTTTTGAAAAAAATTATTACCAGCAATACAATTTTGAAGGCAAAATATTACCAAAAACAGATTTTTGACAAAATAAAATTTTACCAGCAATACAAAATGTTGTCAGCATTAAATAGCCCATTGATGTTGATATGCTGTAAAACAAACCAAATAAACCAAACCAGTCTATACTTGAATGTGTGGGGATTTGAGGAGACTGGCTGTTAGTCTTCAGTGATTTTATTTGTTGTGAATATACTAAAGCATAAAATTTAAATAATAATGAGAAGAAAAATAGCAGCTGTTAGGGTCCCGTCTATGGACAATCGGTGAACCCGCAAACAAACAAAATGAAAGAATAAAAATGTTTTTATACTAAAAATACCAGCAATACACTTTTCCTATAAAAGAAAATACCAACAATACATATTTATAGTAAAATGACCAACAATACATTTTTATCTGTAAATGATGGCTTACAGTTTCATTCTGGATGTTTTGATTTTTGCATTTAGTAACCCATAGAGTATGTTATGCAGCTAAAGAAAACCAATCAAACAAAACGATCAACATGAAAGAACTCTTGCATGACATCAGTCCATATAATATTCTACAATTTCTTAAATCAAACTTCTTTCTTTCTTTTTATGCACCATGTCATTTCACGATGTAGGTAATCATGGCTCTCCACCTCCCTCTATCCCTTGCAGCTCTCAACAAGTTCCTTCCCTCTACTTCCTCCCCCAGACCATGTTCTATCATCCACTTCCTTAAGCCTGCCAGGTATCTCACATGTCTCTATTTCCCTCTATTTGACCCATGAGTATCAGATTCTCCAGGCCTTCCTTCCTCATTATGTGTCCCAGAAACTTCAACTGCCTCTTCCTGGTGTTAAGTATAAGCCTCCTCCTTGTATTTAACCTCTCTAAGATCTCATTGTTGCTCAGTCCATTGATATCCTTAGCATCCTTCTGTAGAATCAGATTTCCATCACCTCAAGTCTCTTCTTCATTTTTGAGGAATTCGTCCAACATTCACTGCCATAAAGAAGGACAGATGTCATGCAATAGCTCAGTATTCTTTTCTTTGTTACCAAAGAAATCCTCCTGTCTTGTAATACTCTGCCCAGCTTTTGGAATGCATCCTTGGCCATCCCAATACATCTACAGATCTCAGTGTTGCACTTACCGTCCTCTGTCAAAATACTTCCCAGATATTTAAACTTCCACATCTGCTTGATTCTAGTGTCCCCAACCTTCAAATCACATTTTGGGCACATCCTTTTATGGATGACCATGATTCTGTTTTCTTATAGTTTATGCTTAGTCCCTTCTTCACACTCTCCGTCACTACCTTCTGTAGGAGATTTTGGAATTTCTTTTCCATGTCATCTATCAGTACTTTAAATTTCTTAAATAAAACTATATTCCAAAATATAACTTTAAGAATGCTAAGAAACCAAAACTGAGCATCACATATGGCCCATAAAACAAATCCCCTCAAAAAAATATAAAATGCAGTATAAAAGGAGCCAAACATGAACATTGCTGCCAAAGAAAAAAATGTGAAAAATAGATGAGCCACCACATTTGCTTTTAAGAATCCCATTCATAACAGCAGAAGGAGAAACACAACAAACGGGCAACCTTCAAATTATCTGGCGCTGACAAACTCTTGCATCACCCCCAGTGACCTCAGTCAACCAACCTGACACACACATCAACTCCATGCCCTACCAACTCTATACTTTCTTCAAGTCACTTCCCTTGCCCACAAAGAGACATCCCACTCACATCCTTCCTATCAGCAATACAAAGTATTTTATATTAACAATTCTTGTCTTCTTTTCCTTTTATCTCACTGGTGGTACTTGTTTAAATTTTTTCTTTCATGCTACCATACATGTGTTTATAACAGAATTTAAACAATAATTTTAAAATGACAACAGATAACATTTTCCAATTCTTGACTTTGTTGGAGTATATCTGATCCTTACTGAGATGCTGGTGGCCTGAGGAGACTTGCTGTCACTTTGTCTTCAATGATATCATTTGGCGTGGGTATGCAAATGTGTTGCAGTAGCACTAACATTGCAGCAGGTACTGCAATAAAAAGAGAAAAACATGAAGAAGAGAAGGAAAACATAAAACAACAAAAATAAATCTTCTACTTAATAATAATAATAATAATGAGAAGAAGAAGAAAGAAAGAAAGAAAGAAAGAAAGAAAGAAAGAAAGGAAAAGAAACAACAAGTGGGATTCCTTAAGAGATAAAATGTGCTGGTACTGATGCATGCTGGGTTGCATGCTTCAGTGGCTACTCAATGCTCATCCCCACCCCGGCAGCCCTTCCAAACTTCCAACCCATTCTCCCTCCCATGCCATATCTGCATCAGATTCAGTTAACCAGATTACAAAAAGGCTCTTTGTGAAAAAGGACGATCTTCAAACAAGACAAACAGAAGCAAAAGCAATCTAATCTTGCGTGTGCCTCAGAGAACTGTGACGGTGAACGAGCAGGGCACAATTCTTGTAATTATATTATACAGCAAGCTTCAGTCCTTGGCACTTCAAAAATAAATAAACAAATAAATAAAAAACACAAAGAGAAATGGTGAGAGGAACAGGATGGCAGACTGGAAAAAAAAAAGAAATTGGAAAAATAACCAAACTAAGAAATGTCTCCGGCAATGAGGAGACCTGCAAAACAGGCCTGTTGAATATGGATGTTCTGAAGAAAAAAGAGAAAATTTTCAGATCTTAAGGGTCATCTCCAATGGCATGTTGCAGTGCTATTTGTTGATCATGAGACTGCGAGATGAACATTTTTAGATTGAAATCCTTCCAACATGATCAATAAGCCTTTCTCTATAACTGGTTAAGAAAATGCATCATTTTGTAACAATTATTTTTAGATGAGACGTTGTAATTAATTTTTTTTATATTTCTTTCATCTACTTTTTCTTCCTTTTACGCAAAGTAGTAATAGTTGCATAAGAAGAGGCCTGTCACCAGTCTAGTATTGTGCATAAATTCATGCAGTCTAGTTACTATAGCGAAGAGCTCATCCGAACAATTACCATGGAAGTATTTATAAAAAAGGCACAGAGAGGCAACCTTACAGTGGTGGGCAAGTGACTGAAGCTGAGCTGTGAGATCAGGACCAATAATATTGCTGATTCTTATCAAGAAGCTCCAGGTAAATAGCAGGGGCACTGGACTATATATGGCAGCAATATTCTAAGCATGGACAAATGGTAGACTTATAGGTATGCAAGATAGATAGAAAAATTGTCTCATTTGGCACAGGGAACAAACTTCCACTTCATGTCAGCTAAGAATGTTAGCCTGAGAAGGTGTAATCAGAACAGCTTGAGATAGATAGATAGATAGATAGATAGATAGATAGATTAACCTATGAATTTCTTTCTTCTTTTTCTCTATATCTCATTCTCTAATAAAGCTCATATTTGATATGCATTTGATCCCAACTCATAGATAGATAGATAGATAGATTGATGGATAGATAGATAGATGGATAGATAGATTGATGGATAGATAGATATGAACAGACTAAGATAGATAGATAGATAGATTGATGGATAGATAGATAGATAGATAGATAGATAGATAGATAGATAGATAGATAGATAGATAGATAGATAGATTGATGGATAGATAGATATGAACAGACGAAGATAGATAGATAGATAGATTGATGGATAGATAGATAGATAAATAGATTGATGGATAGATAGATAGATAGATAGATTGATGGATAGATAGATATGAACAGACGAAGATAGATAGATAGATAGATTGATGGATAGATAGATAGATAGATAGATGGATAGATAGATAGATAGATAGATTGATGGATAGATAGATATGAACAGACGAAGATAGATAGATAGATAGATTGATGGATAGATAGATAGATAGATAGATTGATGGATAGATAGATAGATAGATAGATAGATTGATGGATAGATAGATATGAACAGACGAAGATAGATAGATAGATAGATTGATGGATAGATAGATAGATAGATAGATTGATGGATAGATAGATAGATAGATTGATGGATAGATAGATATGAACAGACGAAGATAGATAGATAGATAGATTGATGGATAGATAGATAGATAGATAGATAGATAGATAGATTGATGGATAGATAGATATGAACAGACGAAGATAGATAGATAGATAGATTGATGGATAGATAGATAGATAGATAGATAGATAGATAGATAGATTGATGGATAGATAGATATGAACAGACGAAGATAGATAGATAGATTGATGGATAGATAGATGGATAGATAGATATGAACAGATGAAGATAGATAGATAGATAGATTGATGGATAGATAGATATGAACAGACGAAGATAGATAGATAGATAGATTGATGGATAGATAGATAGATAGATAGATAGATAGATAGATAGATAGATAGATAGATTGATGGATAGATAGATATGAACAGACGAAGATAGATAGATAGATAGATTGATGGATAGATAGATATGAACAGACGAAGATAGATAGATAGATAGATTGATGGATAGATAGATAGATAGATAGATAGATAGATAGATTGATGGATAGATAGATATGAACAGACGAAGATAAGATAGATAGATAGATAGATTGATGGATAGATAGATATGAACATACGAAGATAGATAGATAGATAGATTGATGGATAGATAGATAGATAGATAGATAGATAGATAGATAGATAGATAGATAGATTGATGGATAGATAGATATGAACAGACAAAGATAGATAGATAGATAGATAGATAGATAGATAGATAGATAGATAGATAGATTGATGGATAGATAGATATGAACAGACGAAGATAGATAGATAGATAGATTGATGGATAGATAGATATGAACAGACGAAGATAGATAGATAGATAGATAGATAGATATGAACAGACAAAGATAGATAGATAGATAGATAGATAGATAGATAGATAGATAGATAGATAGATAGATTGATGGATAGATAGATATGAACAGACGAAGATAGATAGATAGATAGATAGATAGATAGATAGATAGATAGATAGATAGATATGAACAGACAAAGAGATAGATAGATAGATAGATAGATAGATAGATAGATAGATAGATTGATGGATAGATAGATATGAACAGACGAAGATAGATAGATAGATAGATAGATAGATAGATAGATAGATAGATAGATAGATAGATATGAACAGACGAAGATAGATAGATAGATAGATAGATAGATAGATAGATATATAGATAGATAGATTGATGGATTGATGGATAGATAGATATGAACAGACGAAGATAGATAGATAGATAGATAGATAGATAGATAGATAGATAGATAGATTGATGGATAGATAGATATGAACAGACGAAAATAGATAGATAGATAGATAGATAGATAGATAGATATGAACAGACGAAGATAGATAGATAGATAGATAGATAGATAGATAGATAGATAGATAGATATGAACAGACGAAGATAGATAGATAGATAGATAGATAGATAGATAGATAGATAGATAGATATGAACAGACAAAGATAGATAGATAGATAGATATGAAAAATGAGATATATATGAATAGTGAGATAGATAGGCAGATATGAAGATACTGAAATGGATATGAAAAGACCAAGATCGATAGATAGATAAATAGATTGATAGATATGAACAGACTTAGATAGATAGATAAATATGAACAAGCTGATATAGAAAAATATATAGATATATAAATAGATATGAACAAAATTGAGATAGAATGTGCCGACTATTGTCAACCCTCTCATGAGATATGTTAAGAACATTGTCTATTTATGTTATGATAACAGCAACAAAGATGAGGACAATAGTCTGAATATAAACAGTGTAAACAATGATAAATTCTAATCCCAGAAATTGAGACAGAAAACTGCAGCTATTCCTTGACCATTTTACATCATTCAGTCATTTATTCATTTTGCAATGCTGTGGTCACCCAACTTCCATCTTCATGATGACCTTCAAGGTAGAATAATGCAATGGCTTGCTGGTTCTTTTTTGCACCAGGGATATTCAGTTCATCCTCTTAGAAATTAGAAGCAAGACCAACAAGGCAGCATGTAATTTTCCTTCCCCTAGACTGGCAGTGATATATGGGAGCTAAGTGCTTCTCAGATAACATGGTCCCCTCTTGATCATTCCAACAAGATACAAAGGAATGCAGGACATTACTTTACTATTTTACATAGTTGGTGAAAATTAGAAATATAAGACAATCTTCCAGTTTATCATTGGTGATTTTTATCATGTATTTTGTGGTTTATATATGAATACTATATATACTCAAGTATAGTGTATAGTTTTATGATCTGTTTTTTCACGCAAAACATGGGGGTTGCACTATACACAGGTAATATATTCTAGTGGTGTTAAAGTTCATGCATTTTTAGTAACTGTAAACTATTTGGTAGGCCTACAATCTCATAGTACCTTTGGCTAACCTAAACATAACTCAAGAATGTAAAAACTTACAAAATGAAGATGAATGCAAATTTGAGATAGGAAAAAAAAATCTATTAATTTATCATTTATATAAGGTATTTGTTGATTTTAAATGACATATATAGTGGATAATGTTTAGCAATAAAAGAGAAGAAACTGAGATTATGTCAAAGGCAAGGCTCAGGGTGAAGTCTTGGCTTCAGTCCCTTTCCCACTACTGTAATGTAGCTTCTATTTCATTTTTCTATAAATACTTTCACGATAATTGCTCATATGAACACTTTCATTATGGCACCTAGACTTTATGAATTAAAAATGCAGTACTAGATTGGCAACAAGGTCTCATTAATTCACAGTTGAATTGGCTAGATGTAAGCATAAGTTCTATGCTAACAGTTTCTTTTCTTGCACTTCTCACTTGTGGAACTCTCTTCTGGCTTCTTGCTTTCCAGCCAACTTTGACTTTCAAAAATTTAAATGCAATGTCAACTGTTATCTACTGTCCTCCTGATTACCTTTCTATTGTTCTTGCTCATTATTAATATTTCTTTTTTTAATTCTTTCACACTCAGAAACCCCTTGTGTCTCAGTGGTTCTATGGCCTTGCATGGGTTGAGATGATAAAAAAATACCGATGGGTGGGGGGTCCTTCCTAACTTTCTATTTGAACAAGTGTAGAATGTCAACATCTTGATTAGATCATTTTATCTTCATTAAATATGCTATCCATTTTAGTTGTTGTTGTTGTTGAAAGCTCTCAAGTAATATAGTTTCCATTATCTGGTCCCTTCCAAATGATCAAAGTTAAGCATGAAGGAATCTGCACTTTACATAGATTGGTGACCACTTAGGAATTTCTGGTGCCATTTCTTAGCCATTTCTTAGCAGTTTCTGGTGCCTGTGCAAAATCTAATAAATAATTAATGAGAAAACATACACTATGGCATGAATAATCATGAAAGAAGGCAGAGCAATATAATTAATAATAAATAAGTAAAACTGTGAAATAAATTCACATATGAATCAGAAGCTACATACTTCAAGATGCATATTTGTGTCATGTTGCAGCAAATGTATTAAATTACATTTGTGTTGAAAGTGGAACTGCAATATTTCATATGATCTATTCATACCACAAAAGAAGAGGGAGAAAATTGATAAAATTCCAGTAAAAATCTCTTTCATTTGTAAATGGAATGAAGCCATTCTCTAGCAATTTGAAATGGTCCTATCAATACCTGAAGTGTGTTAAAAATTCAAAATTCGCCCCAAGCAAAATTAGCTGTTGAGTGTAGGAGATAAAAGATGTCAAAATGGTGAGTAGAATGTACAAATGATCAATAAAATACCAAAACAGTGACTAAAAACAAGAAGAGAATGGTGGATAGAATATCAGAATGATGAGAGAGCACCAGAATAGTAGATAGAATAGTGGATAAAAAATTAGAATGGCAGATAAATTACCTGAATTGTAGGAAAGATATCAGAATGATGGATAAAATTCCAGAATGTTGGTCAGAATATCAAAATAGTGGAAAAAAATGATAGAATGTTGAATAAGAATGCCAGAAAGTTCGGCAGAATATCAGAATAGTGGATAAAATTATAGAAAGGTGGGCAATATATAAGAATAGGGGATAAAATGATAGAATGGTGAGAAGAATATCAGAATAGGGGATAAAATGATAGAATGGTGGGAAGAATATCAGAATAGGGGATAAAATGATAGAATGGTGGGAAGAATATCAGAATAGGGGATAAAATGATAGAATGGTGGTATGAATATCAGAATAGGGGACAAAATGATAGAAAGGTGGGCATAATATCAGAATAGAGGATAAAATGATAGAATGGTGGGAAGAATATCAGAATAGGGGATAAAATGACAGAATGGTGGGAAGAATATAAGGATAGGGGATAAAATGATAGAATGTTGAATAAGAATGTCAGAAAGTTGGGCAGAATATCAGAATAGGGGATAAAAAAATGATAGAATGATTGACAGAATATCGGAATGATGGAAAATATCAGAATGCTGGATAAAAATTCCAGAATGGTAGTTTGAATCTCAGAATGGTGATAAAATGCCAAATAGTGGATAAAATGCAAGAATGGTGGATAAAAATACCATAAAGTTGAGCAGAATAACAGAATAATAGATAAAATACAAGAATGGTGGGTAGAATATTTGAATGGTGCAAAGAATAACAGAATGGTGGACAAGAATACCAGAATGAAAAAAAGAAAAGTGTGAGAGAATTTGAGAAAGGAAAGAGTGTACAAAAACAAAAGTCTAATATAGAAAGAAGAAAAAGAAAAGAAATTAAAGAGGAAAGAAACACAAGAAGCAAAGAGAAGGGATAAAAATAGAAAGATGTGAGAAAGAAAATGAAAAAGCACAAGAAGGAATAGAAGAAAAGAAGAAAAAGAAATGAATGAATGATAGTAAAACAAGAAGAGAAAAAAATAAAGTAAAAAAATGTCATAAAAAAGATAAAAATGCATGATAAATGAGAGAAAAATAATAATAAAAGTAGAAGCAGAGAATGCAAAATAAGAAGGAGAAATAATTTTAAAAAATAATGAGAGAAAGGTAAAAGTAATTTGATTGAAAGAGAGGAAGTAAGAATGGCATGAAAATGTTTGACAAAGAAAAGAAGAAAAAAGAGAATGAATGAAAAACAAAAGAAGGAAAGAGAAAATAAACGTTAGGTAAAGAAAAGTAAAAAAAAGTCTAGAATAAAGTGGATTCAATGCTGTAGGGATCTGTGAAATAATGTCAAAGCTGAAAACATATTTGCTCAGTCTTTGTATTAAGGGAAATGGCCGAAAATGTATATTTCTCTGTTTAGTGCATGTGCCAAAGAAAGTCAGTATATGAAGCATAATATACATACCTCCATGGATAGGTAGGAAGATAGACAGTTAGGTAGATTATTAGGTGAATAGGTAGGTAAGTAGGCGTGTCTCTATGTGCAAGTTGGAAATGATTTCCTGATTTTTGGTAAGTGAATGAACATTTTTATTTTTCACCATCGAAAATGTATTTCGCTTGGTGGCTGGGTAATTTTTGTTGAGTAACTGCATTTGTGTGTCATTACCTGGAGGCAAATGTCCGAAACAGAGAGATTGATGGTGATTGATATTTGTCATCTAATGAGAGGGAAAAAAAGAAAGGAAGAAAGGAAAATGTAACTGAAAAGAAGGAAAAATGAAAGAAAGAAAGGAAAATGTAAATGTGTATGTACATATGTGTTTATGTGTGTGTGTATGTACTGATTCTTTGTAATGGGATGGTATGTGTGTATGTTTGTGTATGTGCATGTGTATGTGTGTGTGTGGGTGTACAGATGTGTTCACTGATTCCTCATAGTGAGACAGTGTGTATGTATGGAGAGGGGATATACACATATATACACGCATGCTGACAAAAGCACATGAAAATGGAAATAGATCTAAGAACACACAGAGGTCATTAAAAGATAAGCATGCTGATAACTACTCCATCATTTCTCAAACCAATCTTAATTGTTTTATAACCCTTCACACAGAACTTTTCACTGCCAGTTCAAGAAAGACATTTGGATCACTAACACAAAAAGTAGAATGTCTCATTTTAAAAATATTTAACATCGAAAAACATAAAGAAAAAAATTAATTATTTTTCATAATTTGTGGAAATCTCCACCCTTTGCCTGATGATGGTTGTAAGACTGTAAACCCGTGTAGCAAAATTATGGCAAATAAAGAAAAAATTTTTTTTAAATCCACATTTCCACCAAAAACGTTTGTGATTTCTCTATATATTTTATATATATATATATATATATATATATATATATATATATATATATATCTGTGTGTGTGTGTGTGTGTGTGTAATATACTTTAACTAACCAGAAATAAATTTATTAAGTTAATTAACAAGCAATTTCTATTGGTTTGTAATTATATAGATACACGATAAAGTATATAATATATAACATATAATCATATAGATATATACAGTGGGGAAAATAAGGACTTCATCCCCTGCTGATTTTCTGAGTTTGCCACCTTACAAAAATAGGAATGGTCTATAATTTTCAGTGTAGGTCTATCTTGAAAGTGAGAGATAGAATAAAAAAAAATTTCTAGAAAATCACATTATATTAATTTTTGAACATTTATTTCTTTTTTTTGAAAAGTAAGTATTTCACCACATAGCAAATCATAATTCGGCATTTGGTGAAGAAACCCTTATTGGAAAGTGCAGCAGCCAGACGTTTCCTGTAAGTTGGTTACCAATTTTTTACAGATCCCAGGTAGGATTTTGGCCCACTCTTCTTTGCAGATCCTCTCCAAATCTTTAAGGTTTTTAGGTTGTTGTTAGGCAACTCAAAGCTTCACCTCCATCCACAGATTCTCTAAAGCATTAAGGTCTTGAAACTGACTATATTCTGGTCTCCCTACTTGACCCTTCTGTTCCCACCTGTAGGACATGATTTTTGGCTGAATATTGTCTTGATTTTGTATAGACTACAGATCTTTTGATTCTTTTCTAAGCCCTTGATACAAGGTAGAGAAACCATGACAATTTTATGGTCCCCTTTCTTGTCCCTTCCATTCACGCCTGTTGATGCTGATGTTATATTTACCAAGTAGTTGTTATTGTGAAGAGTATATTTGATGCTAGTCATTTTTGTTAGCATGTGTCTGGGTTGCCACTTACTATTTTTACTGGTGTTGAAGACATCAAATGATTTATTTCTTCATACTGTATGGTTGGTAGGAATTGTATTGTTTGGTGAAGGATGCCTAGTGATATAGCAATGTTTTTAACCCATTCTCTGTGCAAGTTATTAGTACATCCAGGATGGCTAGCTGATTATTATTTTCTTCTTCCATTGTGAACTGGATCACAGATTTTATTGGGTTCACAAGGTCCAGCAATAAAGATGAGGACAATAGTTCACATATAAATAGCGTAAATAAGAAAGAAAGAGCAAAGAAACGACAATAGGCAAGAATAAAATAATCAGGAAGAGTGGATAAAATAAACATATGGACAAAAGAAAGACAAAATGTTCTCTTCAAGTTAAGAATAAAAGAAAGAGAAAGAGTGGAAAAAATATGGAAGAAATGTTCCTTTAAGGTAAAAATGAAAGAATGAAAAAGAGTAGATAAAAGAAAAATTGAAAGAAAGATGAAGAAGTATTATCAAGGTAAGAATGATAAAGTGTGAATAAAAAATATGAAAGATGAAACAAATGAGAATGTGTAGATATAAGAAAAAGAAGAAAGAAATATTCTCTTAAGGTAAGAATAAAAGAATGAGAAAGCATGGATAGAAGAAAAATATGAAAAAAAGTAAGGAAGAAATTTCTCTTATTTGAAGAAAAAAAAAGAGGCAGAGAGAGCAGATAAAAGAAAAATATGTACGAAATAAAAAAGAAATTTTCACTCATTTGAATAATAAAAGAATGAGAAAGAGTGGATAAAAGTTTCTGATCACTGTTAAACAATCCACCTCAGTTTTTTTTCCTTTTAAAGTATATCAGAAGAAAGTAAGAAGAATGAAAAAGAAGAAAAATGACAAAAGTAGAAAGAATTAAGAAGAATGAAAAAGAATGAGGAATGAAGAAGAAAGAAGAATGCAAAAGAAAGTAGAATGAATAATGAAAAGGGATAAAAATGTAGAATGAAGAATAAAAAAGAAGAATTAAATAGAATAAAGAATAAAAAATGAAAAAAAGAAGAGACATGAAGAAGAAAAAAGAAGGATTAAGATGAAGAGTGAAAAAGTAAATAGTATGAATGAATAAGAAGAAAGAACAAGGAATGTAGTAGAAAGAATAAAATGAAGAAAAGAAAGAATTATAAATAAGAAAGATGTAGATGAAGAAGAAAAAAATAAATAGTGAATAAGAATGAAGAAAACTTCATGTAGGATAAAATAAAGCTAGAAAGAAGGAGCAAGAAAGAAAAAATAATAAAAGTAAATAAAAAGTAAAAAGAAGAATGAAGAAGAAAGAAATAAAAAGAAAAAAGAAAAAAATAAGAAAAGTGAATAAGAAATTTAAAAGAAAAAAGCTGTAGATCAAGTAAAAAGAAAAAGAATGATGATGAAAAAGAATATATGAAGGATGAAAAAAATGAAGAAAGAATGAGAAAGAAAGAAGAAAATAATAAGATAAGAAAGTAAAAAAAGAAAAAAGAAAGATGTAGATGAAGAAGGAGAGAAAAAAGAATGAAGAAGAATGAAGAAGCAAAGAAAAAAGAATGAGGAAAATGTATAAAGGAGGAAAAAATGAAGAAAGAAAGAGCAATAAAGAGAAAAATAATAAAAGTGAGTAAGAAAGTAAAAAGAAGAATGAAGAAGAAAGATGTAGATAAAGAAGAAAAGTAAAAAGAATGAAGAAAAATGAAAAAGAACTAGAGAAAAAAAGAATGAAGAAAAAGAAGTGGAAAAATGAATGAAGGCTAAAAAAAATGAAGACGAAATAGGAAGAAAAAATAAAATAAAAGGAAAAGTGAACAAGAAAGTAAAAAGAAGTATAAAGAAAAATAATTAAAAATGAAGAAAAAACCAGAAAAAATTTCTGTTTGATTTCTGGGATGAAGAATTATCATTTACAGTTGGACTAACATCCTTATCTTTGTTATTACTATCACAATGTTTTAGTTGTTCTGCTCCTCCCAGCCAGGCCTTTTTCAAGTGTCTGTCAATCTGAGTAACCGTCAGGAAATTTCAAACTGAATTTTTATTCAATCTATGTTGATAATATCCTAGAAAATTACAGCATAGAATTTGATAGCATCATAATTGTGAGTTCAATCCGGGGGCCAGGTAGTACAGATACACTCAGAAACAGTGGAAACAGACTGAGCAGTACTAAATGGCAATTAACCACAGTAACATATCCCTAGGCATGGGCAATGGAATAAGAATACTCGATCTACATAGATTGAATAAAGTGTTCAGTTTGAATTTCCCTACAGGTTACCCAGATCCAGAGATGGCTGGAAGGCACAACAGCCAAAACATGATAGTAGCACCAAAAATAAGGACATTAGGTTTGAGTGTAAATAGGCAAATAGTGAAAATAAGAAAGAAAAATGGAAAAGAAGGAAATGAAGTTGAAAGAAAAAAAGAGAAAAATAAAGTAAACTCAGTCAAATTTTATTATATAAATCAATATTTTATATTAATGAACTGAAGATGAACCACTTTTCTGCTGCCTCTAGTTTTTTCACCATCATGAGAAGATTGTCCGACATTTACTGCCATATGAGAGGATATATAAGACATAACAATCCAACACTCTTTTCTTTGTTTCTAAAAAATTTTTCCATTTGGATCTTATAGAATTATAAAATTATTCTTGTAAATGAACAATCTAACAAATAAATAGTTTTAATATTTTTGTTGTAAATACAACAAAAATATTAAAAACTATTTTCTCAAGAAAAAATGTATAAATTCATTTACATCATATGTTTAGGCTTTGAAATTTCCTGACGGTTACCCAGATTGACAGACACTTGAAAAAGGCCTGCCTGGGAGGGGCAGAACAACTAAAGCATTGTGATAGTAATAACAAAGATAAGGATGTTAGTCCAACTGTAAATGATAATTCTTCATCCCAGAAATCAATATGTCATATACATACATTTCTTGATATTAGAGCACAAGTTTTCTGTTGGATCAATACATGGAATGGCTAGGGCCTATTCTATTAATTTACTGTCTTTGAAACATATTTTGGTAAGGTGGGTAATATTCAGATATGCAGAAAAGGAAGGAGCATTATCTGGCATGAAAATATACTTTAGCTTAAAGACATATGACAATAACATCTACTACTCAAAAGAGATTTTGGCAAATTTGAACCTTCGTGCTTGTAAAATAATGGAGCATCAAAAGGAAGGCTTTTTCCTTAACACCACTATTATTTTAACTACCTCACTCCTCGATAATATTTATTGTTTTAAAAAGTTATGATTAGAATTGCAATAAAGTTTAAACATATGATGTAAGTGAATTTATACATTTTTTTGTTCTGGAGAATTTACAAAAAATATTAAACACTATTTATTTATTTGATTGTTTATTTACAAGAATATCTTTATATTTACAACATTTGAAAAATTAATACAATTAAAACTAATGTAATGCAATAATATATCACTTACAAATTTATAAAAAAATAAATATGAAAGTAAATTTTTATTTATAAATTTATATGAAAAGGACAGCTTTTCCCTTAATACCACTACTATTTTAACTACCTTTACTCCTTTGAAATGTTTATTGCATTAAAAAGAGATGATTAGAATTGTAATAAAGCCTTAACATATGATGTAAATGAATTTATACATTTTTTCTTGAGAAAATAGTTTTTAATATTTTTGTTGTATTTACAACAAAAATATTAAAACTATTTATTTGTTAGATTGTTTATTTACAAGAATAATTTTGTATTTACAACATTCTAAAAACTAATACAATTAGAACTAATGCAATGCAATATTTATCATTTACCAATTTAGAAAAAAATAAATATGAAAATTATTTTTTATTCATTTACTTAAAATGTTTGCTAAATTATTAAAATATGTGAATAAAATTCTTATTATTTACTATTTTATAAAAAAAATTTTTAAATTATGATTTTAAACTATAATTTTAAATTATATTTAAATTATGATTTTAATATATTTATTTATTTAATTATATTATTATAAAATCTATATTTTTACTATTTTTTAAGTCATATGGTATTTATGATATCAATATTTTAATATTTAATATTACTGAAAATATATATTACTAATATATAGTAATTTACTAATATTTAATATTTTAATTTTTATATTTTATTTATATCAATTATAATAATTAACATTATTTATTTAATATTTTATATTATATTTAAATTATGATTTTTAAACAATATTTTTAAACTATTAAAAATAGTATTTTTTAATAATTTAAAAAATTAATTTCATATAAATATAAAAATAAGTTTTTATTCATTAATTTATAAATGCTTACTAAATTATTAAAATATGTGAAGCAAATTCTTATTTACTATTTTATAAAGATCAAATCATTTGACAAATAGTTTTGCCAACCATTTGTTATAGACAAGCGTATAGTTGCAAGAAAGATATACGACAACAGCAGAAATAGATTTACGTGATTTATTTCAATAGGAATGTGTGTTTTTGGGACAGCTACCTTGTGGTATAGTTCATAGGCCAGTTGAAGATCTGGGTTGATCCTCATAGTAGTTCTCACTGGTTGGCGTGGCACTTCTGCTGACTACTGTTGACCGCTCAGCCTGACTGTGACAGGTCTCTTCCCTGGCCTCCTGTTGACTGCTGTTGTACTTCCGTGTGACCCCTTTTATGGTGTTTTTTTATGGCTTGACAGGCTTGAAAAACATTGTGAGTATAATTAGGAGGGAAGCATTTTTATTGGTCGAAAAATAGAAACACTTTAAAATATTATTTTATTTTTCGACCAGAACTCGTGCATCAGGAACATGCGTAAATGAAGATAATGGTCATTTTGTGACAGGGCCTTGTCCCGTTCACATCCGGCCCTCACTCTTGAGTATGTTAGTTTATTTGCCTGTAAATCAGCCAAGATATGTCTTATTTTATTTTATAACAAGGCTCCCCCAGATCTCGGTCTGATTTACAGTGAGCGTTATTCATGTATATTTGGGTGATTAATTCACATTTAAATAAACAATATAATAAATAATTTTTTTCTTTATTTCCTTTTTAATTTCTAAGTCATTATTTCTTATTTTTTTATTTTCTTTCTTTCTTTCTTAAAATTCAAGTGAGGGAAAAGAAAAAGAAAAGAAAAAAGACAGGAAGAAAAAAAGAATGAAAGAATAGAGAACAAATAAGTATTATTCTTATTTCTTCTTTCTCTTTTTTTCTTCACTTTCTTATTTTTTTGCTTCCATTTTTTTTTTGTTATTGTTTTTACTTTACTTTTCATTTCTCTTATTACTTTGTAGGTCACTATTTCTTCTACGTTTTTAATTTCTTCCTCATTTCTTTCTTCATTTTCTTCTTCAAGGATTCATCTATATAATAGAAACAGAATAAAGAAAGAGCAAAATGAATGAAAAAAAATGGAAAAATTGAAAAAAAGAAGAGAACTGTAACAAAAGGTAAAAGGAAAAAGGAAATACAAAGAGGTGAAAGAAAAAAGAAAGAGAAAGAATTCATAAGAAAAGAAAGAAAAAACGTAAAAAGAAGGAAAAAGAAAATTTGAGGATCATATTCACAATTGTGAGTACCTTATTCCCTGAGGTAGAACAAGGTAAGTGTGTTATATGCCTTGAATCTTTTCCCTAATA